TCGCTATAGGGCACGTGCGCTCACCAGACAGACAGAGAGAGACATAGAGACAAAAAGCGAGAAATCACCCCCCAGGGGGGATGGTCACATCGCAATCCCTTCTCCTCCATTCTCCTCTCGGGATCTTGGGCACACACGCACACGCACCCGGCATGAGTTCTAAGCCACCGGGTCTGGGACGCGAACCGTGGTCGACTATGTGGGAGTCCAGCGACATAGCCATTACACTAACTGCTCGTTCCCTGGCTCTGGCTAGGCTCTTGAGGCCCAGCAGGGCCTGGCTCAGCTGTACAAGCCCAGCTATGCATGAGCCGGACTGCCAGGCGGGCGCTCCCTGGCCACACCTCTGCCGCTGCGAGGCGGCTCCCTTGGCTAGCCTGCTGCCTTTGTCCAGAGGCCGTCCTCTGTGAGTCCCTCTCCTCGGACCCAGCCCTTCGCTCATTTCTTCACTCACATCGTCTCTGCTCTCCCTCCCCTGCTGCTGTGCGGCACCCCCTGTCTGATTGCTCAGCTAAAGGAGCGACTGTGGCAGGGACCATGTCTAAGACCCCTGGTCACCCCAGGTGTCGGCGCCAGGCTGCACACATGGTGAGTGCACCCATGTTTGACAACCGAGGGCTACAGGCGCCCCGGGTAGCCAGGGCCAGGCTGGGTTGGCCTGACCCGCCCCCACCAAGTACCCTGTGGCTGCTGCAGACAGACCTGGAGGCACCATAGTGCAGAAGCGATGGAGGGCCCGGACTCCGGGGCCCAGCGTCTATGGGCAAGGCCTGACAGGGACATCACTGATTTCCTCGGGGGAATCTCCTCTCCTCTGGACCCGACCATGAGGCTTGCCCAGGGACTGGCCCTATGAGCAGGTCGGGCACTTTACCCTCGTTGATTGGGAAGAGCATGCCCTCTGGCTGTGGAAGACCACGAGCTGTCACGCCAGTACTGGGGAAGGGTCTGGCTGAGACGGAAGCCACAACAGAGGAAAGTAGAGCCGACGCCGGGTTTTGGATGCTGAGCACCTGGATCTAGCCGTGCCTGAGGTCACCCATCCCCGAGACGTTTTACGTTGCGTGAGTTACTCCATTTATGCTCAGCCCATTTCTGTCCCTTGCAGCTTGAAGACCCTAACCCGGCAGCTGTGACATACGTAATGCTGGTGGCATGGACGCCTGGCTGCTCCACAGGCCCATGGCAACTGTGCTGTCACTGAGACCTGGCTACCAAAGCGAGCCCAGAAGTCCAGGTGGCCCGTGAGAGGGCTATCTGGGGAGCCCCCAGCCATCGCCGCCCCCACAGCCACAGGACCTGCTGGCAGGACTCACCCTCCTTTCTCTGGCCTGCAGTGTCTCCGCCCGCAGGGGACCTGGTGAGGAAAGACGGAGCCCTTCGGGTACTGTCAGCTCTCGGCCCCTCCTGGGGCCTCCGTGGGATCATCACGGGGCGCTCCTCGCAGCTGGGGGCCTCCTCCTGCCTCCCGACACTGTCCGAGTCCTGCCAGGGAAGGGGAGGAAAAGGCGTGTTTGGGGAAGGAAAAGGGCCCGGCCATACTCGCAGCCTGAGGGTGGGCAGGAGGGCAGGAGCCGACCGAAGAGCGCTTGCCGGGCCTGCTCTGCGGCACGCCCAACAGTGATGGGCTACTTGAGAGATGCCAGCTCCCACATGGCGACCTCAGTTCCGATGTCTGGCTGGGTCAGCCCGAAACACACCAGGCACTCGCTCTCACACGTGCATGCACGGACACAGGTGGCCCAGGATCCGACAGGCCGAAGGACCGGAGGGAGGGGATTCTGGCTTAAAGAGACCCTGCAGAGGTGTGTCTTCCACTTCCCCTCTCCCTCGCTCTCCCCCACGCGCCCAGACGGGTGAAGGAAGGGTGGTGCTGCGTGGCCACATGGAGCCGGGTCCTCGGCACATGGCAGCTTGGCTCACGTGCTCAGTCCTGGCAGGGAGGCACTCGCTGAAGCTGAGAACTTGGCCCAAGTCACACGGTGCCAGTGGTGTGTGCAAGACCCATCAGGGGCGTGGGGAGGGGTCAGCTCTTAGCCCCAGCACTTCCCAGATGGGTGGCCTCAAGTAAGTTGCTTTCCCGTTTTGAGCCTCAGTCCCAAATGGGGTCATAACGTGTCTACCTCGGAGAGTGGTGGGGAGGAGGGTGGTGGGGAGGAGGGTGGTGGGGAGGAGGAGGGACTGTGGTAGATCTGAAAGACTGCGTCCGTGTTTCTGAAATGAACACATGTTTGTCCTTAGACAGGAAGACATTTCAATAACTAATGGATGGATCTTTTAGCTCCCATTTTAGGGAATCATCCCTTCTTGACCTCAGATTTAGTTCTTGGTTTCTTGACTATGACCTAAGTATGGATAAAAGTCCCTCTATAGTGGAAAAGAGAAATTTCACAGATAACCCAGATGTAACCCAGCCAGACAGCAAAGAGTTGACTGTGCCATACCTAATTGACAGTGGAGGGGTAACCTCAAGTTACGTGCCTTTTGACTAAAGTTCTGTATTAGCCATTTGCTTAGAAGGAGCAGATGTTTTGGCTCTGGTGGTCACTGCTCACCTCTGCCTGGGAGGTGCATCAATCACTTTAATTATAATGGAACGTGGGGCCAGGAACTGAAGGAGAAAAATCAACCCAATCCCAAGAACAATCTTTCTTGATGAATTCTCCCCTAAATCGAAACAATTCACTGGGTATCCCAGCTGGGGTTCATATGCTTTTGATTACTGTGGGCTATTTAGCTCTACAAAATGACAGGCTGCTTAATGGACTTTTAATGGTTATAGGTTTCTCTCTTTTTTTTAATGAGCTTCACCAGTTTGTTACTAATGCCCTGTAGAAATTTGGCGAGGGGCCAGTCTTGATGTTACACATTTCTGGTTTCCAGGCGGCATACACGAAACCCTTGTAGCCAGTGGGGAAGTATGTTGGCAATCGTAGAGTGATGCCATTAGGGCAGGGAGAGCAGGGAAGCTAATCGAGTGCCCTGCAGTTCTAATAATTATGTCATCTTAGAGAAGGTGGTTGCGCTTTGTAACTGGAGTTACCCTGAAGGCTTCTAGCTTCAAAGGTTTTGGGATGCCAGGTGACAGGAGGGCTTGCCATCGCAAGCTTTGCCTTCCATGTTGTTGGTAAAAAGTGTCCTTCACAGTCTCAGTTGTATCTCATCCACCAAAGGATCTGTGAACCTCTTTTTCCCAGGGGTAGGTTTTATTCAATCATGTTTGTCAATCATGTTTGTATCTTTGGTATCTGGTGCCAAATTGGGCCCAGAGTAGGTATTCGATTCGTGTCTCTGAATGAGAGGACACAAATGAATAGGAGGAGTTGGGGAGAAGAGCTTTTACTGAAGAGACTCACTTTGTGGGATTTTAGCTAAAAGCATATGATCTGGATTAAGAGAACTGTGGCGAGAGTAGTGAGAGATAAGAGACACAGGGCATCTTGCTTCACTAGCAACAGTAAAAACAGCTCCCATTTCTTGTCATGCTAAACACTTAGCATACCTCTTCTCAGTCCTTACAACAATGCTGAAAGGTAGGCAGAGGTATGCTGGTAAATGTTTAACAACCACCTCCAAAGGGCTAGTGGGGAAAGATGCCCAGATTTTATAACTTTTGCTCATTTCTGAGGTAAATAATCCTGCCATAGCCTGTGACAAACTATGTGATCTCAACCACCAGGAAAAATTCTAGAAGTTTAATAACTAGCTTTTGTGAGCTGACATGAGTATACCACCAGAGATAGGTATCATTTAATTTACAGATGTAGAGGCCAAGTGTGAAAGAAGTAAGTAACAGGCCAAAATCATGAAGAATGAAGGTCCAGAATGACTCTAAAGACTGGGTTCCTAACCATTGCACTGTACAACACCATTTTCCTGAGCTTACTTCCTGCAGTATTGAAATAGCCACAAAATTAGGAGCTAGAGTGCATGCCCATGTTTATGTAAAGCTCTCTCTGACTTTCTAGGGTGTCTCTGTTAGTTATGTATGATAGCCACAAAAAGTATACTTCTGGGTTGCATGGCACAGTGATCATGCAATGTTCCTGAGGCTGATTCACATGGGACGGGGCGTGTTCACATCCGGAGATCTCCCTAAACATGCAGGGTGCCCATGATTTAGGACTGGTTGAGGCTGGGATTGTTTGTGTCATCAAGACTGTGTTGGGGGTGTCTTCTCTTCTCTGTCTCTCTTTTTCATGCATGGAAGAAATAAATAAATGGGGAGGAGGTGGTGGGGAGGAGGGTGGTGGGAGGGGGGTAGTGTGGACCCTTCCAGGAGCCCATGCCTGGCAGCCCGTGGCACTGTGCTGGCCCAACACTGTGTGCACAGACCAGGCTGCCATGGGCTGAGCCTCGTCACTGCCTCGCCACTCCTGGAACGCCCTCATGGAAAGGCCTGCCTCCCCTGCCTGGGACAGCCCTTCAGTGTGACAGCTTGAGGAAGTCTCCCGGGTCTCCTCTCCAGCCTGCCCAGCCCATTCCCTCCCTCCATCCTTGGGAAGCCTGTGACTGAGAGTCTGGGCAGCCCAGTAGGCTGGTCACTCAGCTAGACCTGTCACCATCCTCCTCCCTCCATCTTCTCACGGCCCGCAGCCCCCCTGGGCGGGCCTGTGCGGAGACCCTGCCCTCCAGCTGGCCTAGGTGCCAGCGAATGGTCTGAGGCCCTGGGGTCACAAGTCCCTAGTTTGAGAAGCTCACAGACAGAGCCTTGTCTGGAGGCTGAAGTGGAACCTGGGCTGGGGACCGAGGGGTGGTGTGCCTTCCCCCATGCCACGCTCACCACAGAGGACGAGTTGCTGGTACCATCGGGGGTGTCGCACTCAGGGCTGGAGCTGGGGTCCAAGCCAGGGCTTTCGTCACAGCTGCTGCACAGGGCGGAGGTCAGGCTCTCCAGGTAGGGGACCGCCTCGAGCTCAGGGCTCCTGCTCCGGGGGGCAGCAGGGCCCTCTTCAGGGAGCCCCACAGAGGGGGACAGGCCCCTGGGAGAGGAGACGACGACCCGTGGCTTATTCCGCACAGAGACGGGAATTAAGGCGGAAGTCTACACGTTAGCGTGGGGGGGGGCCGCTGCTGAGGGCTCTCTGTGCAGGGCTCCTTCTTCCCCTTAGGTTTTGCTATCGGGTGCTTGTGCTCACCAGGGAGAGAGAGAGAAATCACCCCCCAGGGTGATGGCCACGCCATGGTCCCTTCTCCCCCCTTCTCCCCTCGGGATCTGGGGCATGCATGCACACACACCCAGTGTATCTCAAGCTGTTGTGTCCAGGGATCGAATGGCAAAATTGGCCACGTGAGAGCCAACTGCCTTAACCACCAGCGGCTGCCCACTGGGCTTTTCTTTTTTTTTTTTTTCCCCTTTCATGTGTGAGAAAGAGACAGGCAGGGACCCTCAACAGGACCTCGTCATGCTGCGATCCTTCCCCTCCCACAAGCCTTCCAGCCACCAGGATCAGGGGTACGCTTTACATGTGTTCAGGCTGACCAGGGAACCGAACCCTGGCCTTCCCACATGGCTCCAACCTCACGCAGCAGCACCCTGCCACTACACCGCAGCCGGGCCACGCTCCTATGGGCTGTTGCACTGAGGTAACAGCCTCCCTTTAACGGAAGGGTAATGACTCCCACTTAACAGAGACTGGCGCTCAGAGAGGTCAAGAGACCGGCCGAGGTCACGGAGCAAGGAGAGGGCAGATGTGCCGTGACCAGGACTGTGGCCTCAGCACCCTCCGCCCTCCCACTGGAGCAGGAGGGACCCCAAGTTCAGGAAGACTGAAGCCAGACTTGTGCTGGGCTAGTGGGACGGGGGAGCAGCAGGGCTCCGAGGACAACAGAGCCGCCTGCAGGGTGCTGAGGGGCTGCAGAGAAAGCCCTGCTCCAGAGAAGCCAGGTGGGGTGGCCACTGCTCGAGGTGGCTTCAAGCTGGCAGTGTCCCCAAGAGTGACCCACAGGTGGTAATAGATGGCCTTAAAAAGGAGTTCTGTCATCAGGCAAGTTTGGGGGTGCAGGTGGTGGTAGAGCAGTAAAAGGTGATGCTCTACAAGGCTGACCCTGTGGAAGGTTCTGAGTTCAAATCCAGAGACCTCCCTGAGAGCACACTAGCCACGTGGGTGCCCATGACCCTGTGGAGGGTTTCTCTACGTCTCTGTCTCACTCATGGGAGAAATACATAAATAACCTTTAGAAAGTTTGGGATAAACCACACACGTCTCCAGCCACCCACGAGGGGTACACGTTTCCAAAGCAATGCCGATTCGGTCCAACCCCTTAATTTATGAAAGGGAAATGGAGGCACGGGAGAATGAAGCAACTTGCCCAAATCCCCAAAGCCCATCACGATGGGTCTGAAGGTGGACCCAGGTGTCCAGACTCCCAGCCACGGCCTTCCAAAGTATCATGACCCCACAGGGGAACCCCACGTCAGCTGACGCCTGGGGTGGAGGTAATCCCCGAGCCTAGAGCGCATGGCCAGGGCAGTGGGTGACAGCAGTGCCCGGGGACAGGGACTGTTTAATCTTTTAAAGCTGTGCTAAGGAGACGCGAGCAGGTGTGGGCATGCCCACGGCAGGGTGGGTGCTTGCCCTGGACAAAGCTGACTCGGTCTGGGGGAACTACAGAGTGGGCAGGGCACCGGGAGGACAGTCAGCGCTGGGGCGGGCGGGTTCAGCGACCCAGGTGCCAGCAGGACGGCCCGAGTGCTCCCAGTGAGCACCAGATATGTGCCTACCTCCGTGCCCAGGCCGCGTGGGCTGACCACGTGACCCATGCTAGCACCATCACAGACAGACCTGGCCATCATGAAGGGGCACTGGTGGGGTGAACGAGGGCACCCTACCCAGGGAGCCCTTCCCTGGCCTAGGGCTCTACCCACCTCTTGGGCTCTGGCCTGAGGTCTGGGCCCACCACAGACTGGCCGCCAGAGGTCGAGGTGCTGAGAGGGTTCTCCAGGGCCGGTGGGCAGCGTGGCAGGTCGCAGTAGGGCGCCTCGGCACTGGGAGGGCTCCTGGGCTCCTGGGCCAGAGTTGGAGAGAGGAGGCAGCTCAGCATCCGCGTGGGGGCTCCCCTCCCCTGCACAGCCCCTCCCAGCACTGGGAGGTGTGGGAGTCTCCAGTCATCTCCCCCTGGGAGCTCACACTTCTCAAGGAGAGCCGCCCAGCAAGATGGAAGTGCCCTTGGGACCTGAGCCAGGGGCTGGCAGGGGGATATGATGTGTGTGCATGCATGCATGTCTACACGTATGGGCCTAGGTGCAGGTATGTGCGTGTGAATGCCTGTGCATTGAGGCACATGTGTGCACAGGGGTGTTGAGAGCTGGTGTACACATGTGCATGCATGTGTCTGCAGGTCCAGTGAGCAGGTTGGTGCCTATGCGTGTACATGTGTGTGCAAATCCACTTATGAGTGCATGAGTGTGTGCTGCTGAGAAGGACGAAGATGAGGGTGAGGAAGGACTACGCTGGCCCAGACAGCAGGAAGCGGTCCCAGGGAGGCAGAGTGGCCTGACAGAGCGGGAGACAAGGAAGACCCCGGAGGGAAGAGGAGGCTTGCCCCCCTAAAAAAAAGGCACTGGATCCAGAGTCCAGGGTGGGGCAGGGGCCTTGAGCCACTGTCTGGTCCTCTTTCCTTCCACCCTCAGCAAGGCCACACCTGTGAAGGCTGGCATTGGGCTCACCGAGGGGGAACGGCTGCTCCCCTCCAGGAAGGCCCCCCCATTCCTCCCTACCTCTCAGGAGTGGCAGGGCCCTCCCCTGGTGGTGGGAGACAGCGGTGGTGGCACCCTGCGCCCCGCCTCCTCTCGTGTTACCTGGGCAGCGGGCTCCGGAGGTGGCTGCGGCTCGCGGCTGT